CTCACTCCTTCAGTCTCCGCCCGTATCACCCACCTGAACGACATATCAAACTGGATGTTGCTCCATTTCCTCAAACTGAACCTTTCCAAAACCGAGCTTCTAATCTTCCCCCCAGCCCCGCGCCCCCCCCCCCCCCATCCTCTCCATCCTGACCAACAACGCCACAATCAGTCCCACCCCGCAAGCCAAAGTCCTACGTGTCACTCTAGACGCAAACCTGTCCTTCCAACCCCATGTCCAATCGTTGGCAAACTCATGCAGACTCCACCTCCGCAACATCTCCATAATACGTACGTTCCTAACCCCAGACACTACTAAACAACTCGTTTACTCCCTCATTTTTTTACGTTGGGACTACTGCAACTCCCTTCTCACCGGCCTACCTCATCACAGACTATCCCCGCTTCAGCCTATCCTGAACTCAGCGGCCAGACTCATCCACCTTACCAACCGCTCCTCTTCTGCCACCCCCTCTGTCATTCCCTCCACTGGCTCCCGATCGCCCAATGCATTAAATTCAAACTACTAACACTGACATACAAAGCCATTCACAACGCTGCCCCAAACTACCTCACCAACCTGATACCCAAATGCCACCCAACCCGTAATCTTCACTCCTCTCAAGACCTCCTACTTTCTAGCTCCCTGGTCTCCAACTCCCACGCCTGACTGCAGGACTTCTCCAGGACTTCCCCCATCCTCTGGAACTCACTACCTCAATCCATCAGACTGTCACCTACCCTCCTCACTTGTAGGCGCACCCTGAAAACCCATCTTTTCAGGGAAGCCTACCCCACCCTCACCTAACAGCCGATCTCCTCCACTCCTCCTTCCACTCCATCCCCCACAGCCACTTCCTCCTGTACCACTTTCCCCTCCTTCCTAGATTGTAAACTAGAAGGAGCAGGGCCCTCGAACCCCTTGTGTATTGTTTTGTTACTGTATTGTCTCATGTTCTGTCCCCCACTATAATGTACAGCGCTGAGCAAACCTTTCTGGCGCTATATAAATACTGTATAATAATATTCTGAACTGGTCCTATTATAACCTAGAATCCCATGCCTATGTACCTTATGTATCCCCCTCTTTTCTACATTCTGTATCCCCAATTTGTCTTAAGATTATTTCCAATTTTTTTTACTCTGTTCTTACGTTTTCCCACAGTGTTTGGGTTGTGAACATACTAGTTACGAAATGCTAATGGTTATGTATTATGTGTTAGCTGGAAGGATGCCAGATTCCTAAAGTAACATACTAGAGCAGTTGTATACTGCAATAAAACAGACTAGCATAGTCTGGGATACTTTCACTGACCAAATGCTGGAATTTATAAAATATTTTTGTAGGTTAGGGTTCAGCCCTGTACAAATGATTAACAAAACCCCTTTCAGACCCAATGTAGGAGGATGGCACAGTAGCAGCCTTCATCCCCACGCAGAGCCTTGGACAGTGAGGATTATATATAGTGTACAATGTTCACCATGTCTGAGGACTTTGAGCCTAACAGGAATTAAAATTAGAATTCTTTGTTGCATAAGTAACTACATTTCAGAAGGGTAGACCGTTTTTATACATGTATTCCGGGGATGTTAATTTAACATTTTGAAAGTAATCAGCAAGAAAAGTGAAGTTAATCTGGCTTTACTGCCATTTTACAATCTAAATCCAGTGAAAATTTACACGTCTGTATTAGGTGTACATAAATTACCGGAGTCATAGCCTCATCTCTATTAGAATTTTGGTGTAAGATTTCTATGCAGTTGCTTGTGTCTTTGCGCTTGTTTGTGGAAACTATAATCCATTTGTGTTTGCTATAGCTGGGGCTTTTGAACAGAACTGGGATTTCTGGCGAAAATTAGGCTGATTTAATAAAGGAGCTGAGAATGTTCACACGATGAATTGTGAAAACGCTCTCTAATTAGTTAATTAGTGCCAGGACAAAGCCCTCCATTTCCCCAGTTCCCCAGCAAAAGGTACCAAAGTGCTGCCCCCACCATAACATGTTACCCATTATCCCGACACATCACCTTTTACAGCAAAAATGTGCAAATAAATTCTGCAATGTTTACAGTGCTTAAAATGCTACTAAACCCAGGACCCTGTATTCACTATTTTCGGTCTCCCACAGTACAAACATGGAAATGCAATTATTTTAGTTACCCTCCCTAGAGGTCTGATTATGTCCATATTTCTGTGCTGAAAGCGGTACTTTTTTTGCATGGAAATATGTAGTTTTTTTATTTATAAATACAATGTGAATATGATATCAAACCAAAAAACCTTAAACCCACTCTAATTCCTAATTAGAAAAAACTTTCAATCCCTTTATTCCAAAAAAGAATCTTCCCTCTTTCAACAAATTTCCACCTGTATTAAAGCACCAAGACCTCCCCCTTATCAGTGATAATCATATAAGCAAACTGACAAAAATCATAAAGTCCAGTGTCTCGGTAGTCAATAAATCAAAAGTGTAGAACTTGAAAATTTTCTTGCAATGTTGATTATGTCCAATGGCTTTTGTGAAAAAACTCAAAATTAAAGAAACTCAAAATAGTGCATTAACATAACACAAACAGAGAAAAAAAAAATATATTTTTTTTTCTCTGTTTGTGTTATGTTAATGCACTATTTAGTGTAGCAAGCTTGTAGAAGGAGTTTTCTCTAGGAGGATGGAAATCCCCTGACCTCTGTCTGGACAGTGCTGCCTGGCCCTGTGCTGATCACATGCATACACCTTCCAATAAAAAAACCTCTCTACCAATACACACTATACTGAGCATGTGCAGATGAACACAGTTCAGTCTGTCTTATCAGTGTGGGCATTTGAACAAGAAGAGGGACAAATAAGAAAAGATCAAACAGCCTGTTTACACAATGCAGAGGATTAACCCCTTAGGTTCCACAGTGAGTATAACAGGCATGCTTTACTGCATATACAGACTGATTTTACTGCTGTGGGTTTAGTAACACTTTAAAGGGAAAGGAAAAACTGTTTCCTTGCAGTGGGCTGTCCCTGCACTACAAGGGTTAAATGCTTGTTTAGGTCTGGGAGGGCCACAAAAAGCCTTTTTACTTACTGGAATCTCTGCTACCTGGCAGGTTGCAGTCTCTTCTAATCCCCTACATTCCAGAACTAGACTGTCCTTTGGTGTCCTCATGTCCAATGCAGAGCTATGGTCTCTGCATTGAACTTGATGACATGTGACCACCAGAGCATAGGAGAGAAGAGCCTAAAGGGACCAGTCTTACATACTGGAGGAAGCTTGGGACTGGATAAGGAAAACAGCTCTTTATGTCCCCTCTAGACCTAAAAAAGCATTTAGCCCTTGCAGTACGGGGACAATGCATGAGCACTTTCCTGTGCTACTATGACCATAGCAGGAACTGCTGCAAAACAATGTTGGTGAAAGGAAAGCTCACCTGAAATGAGGAGAAAAAAGTAACATGAGACTGCACATAGGAGAAAAGAGCATTATTTCTTTCTCTTCAAAAGATTTTAAAACATGCCTGGTATGGGAGTGAAATGGCCCAGAGCACTTCCTACACATTTACTGAATATCTTGTGACATTTGTCATTATGGAAGTATGAGAGCTCCACCAACCAGAGGTATTTCAGTCACAGCACATAATGATGTGATTACAAATTGTGACACCCAAATCACAGAGCCAGCTCGACAGAAAGACTACCATCTACACTGTGTAGTCATGGGCCAGTCTACTGTCTAGTCTTTACCTGTTTAGTAAGGTCAGCTTTCACTGCTTTCCTTGCCCATGCTGGACAGAAAGAAGAGCACAATCTCTAAAGTTACAGCTGTAAAAACACCCAATAGCGAGCAATTCACGTGACATGTGAAAGGACATTGCTTTCTATTGTGCCTGTTCACATACACTCTCTGGCCACTTTATTAGGTACGGGAGTATAAGATGAAGAGCCGGCAACTCATTCTCCTGATAAAAGCACTTTATTCATAAAGGGTACAGTGTGCAAGTTACAGCAGCTCACGCAATGGTAATGGGGTCATAGGGCTATGAATAAGGTTTTTACCAATAGGCGCAAGCTGCTGTAACTTTCGCACTGTACCCTTTATGAATAAAGTACTTTTATCAGGAGAACGAGTTGCCGGCTCTTCACCTTATATTTCTATACTATTTAAAATGCCAGGAAGACACTTTGGAGGACCATAGGTCGAAATCAACCTAGGTGTACCTTTTTGTTTGTGGTGTTTATTAGGTACACTTATTCAATTACTTGGTAACACAAATTGCTAATCAGCCAATCACATGGCAACAACTCAATACATTTAGGCATCTAGACATCATGAAGACGACTTGCTGAAGTTCAAACTGAGCATCAGAATGGGGGAAAAGGGGGATTTAAGTGGCATGGTTGTTGGTGCCAGACAGGCTGGTCTGAGTATTTCAAAAACTACTGATCAATGAAAATGCTTTTTTGATGTCAGAGGAGAATGGGCAGACTGGTCCGATATTATAGAAAGACAACAGAAACTCATGCCAATATGGACCAAAATCTCTGAGGAATGTTTCCAACACCTTGTTGAATCTGTGCCATGAATAATTAAGGCAGTGCAATCCAGTACTAGCAAGGTGTACCTAATAAAGTGGCCGGTGAGTGTATGTCTGGTGCAGCTGGAGTGCGGATTCCGTGCAAACTGAAAAAGAGTACTGTCAGTTTTCTGAGCAGTGCGGTCTGGCTCAGGTGCAAATTCAAGCTCATTGACTTCTATGGGAACTCTTCTGAATGCACGTCTTTCAGTTGTGAAAAGGATAAAATCCTGACCTGATCCTGATGTAAAACTAACCTGAAACGCTGAACTACTTTATCTCTAAAGTTCAACCCTAACAGGTAGGGGGAAATGTAAACAGCAGCAGGAAATGCAGTTATTTACACAGAAGACGTCCAATGTAAGAAAATCAAGGGCAATTGCTTTAATGTTTGATTAATGGCTTCAAATGAAGTGTAATGAAAAGAAAAAGGTCACCTCTCGGAAGTTTAGTTTACAGTCAAGGTCTTCATCTACTTCCTTGATCATGTTCTTTAACCCTAGATGTGTCTGTGGCGCTCCCAGCTTCTCCATCATCAGCTTCAGCTCCATTAAATCTATGAAGTTATCATGTCCTGTATCATACCTGCAGAGGATGCATTAAAAATTACACGTTAGAAGCAAATATTGAAGAGGTCTCAAAACCACTAAAAAAAAAGCCTATTTTTCACATCTTCACCCTTGTGTAGGTTGATACCAAAGTCAGGCAGTCTATGTTTTGTGTGTTACTCCAGACTAGCCTGCCCTCAATCGTGACAGTCTAAGGTCCTGGTGTCCAGCCTACGGCCCTTTGAACTATTATGTGTGGCCCTCGGACCTTAGCAGTTTGTAGTGGAAACATTGATTAGGATAATAGCATTGATTTCTACTAGCCTCAAGTAACAGTTCCCAGTTTCATATTTTCTTCTGTAGATCCCCAGCCAAAACCATAGCATATCTCTGACCCTCATTTCCTCTATTAGAGTTCCAAAAACCCTCTCAAACATTATATATATTGAACACTATATTCAGCCCTTTGGTGATGTCAGGGGCCACATCTGAGGCCCCCTTTAGCTCATACAGCCACTGGTCTAAGGGCTCTTTCAGAAAGGTGGTAAGCTTACCGCCCTCTGAAAAGCAAGTCATGATGGATAGCTTTTTACAGGGCAGTATAGCATCTGACAGGCTTCAGGAGGTGCTACTGCTGTCTCCTAACACCTGTTGTTTTTTTTTTAACCAAACAGCAGTTCTACATTGCAAAACCGCTCTACAACTACAAGCCAACCACTGGACTTGTGGTTGCAGTGCAGCCCCATGAATCTAGGCAAGCACAGTGGCTAAATGGTTAGCACTCCAGCCTGGCAGTACTAGGGTTGTTGATTTGAATCCCAACCACGGCACCACCTGCCTGGAGTTTGCATGTTTTCCCTGTGCCTGCGTGGGTTTCCTCTGGGTACTCTGGTTTCCTCCCACACTCCAGAGACATGCTAGTAGGTTAATTGGATACTCTCTAAATTGGCCCTAGTATGAGTATGTATGAATATGAGTTGGGGACTTTAGATTTTACACCCCTTGAGGGTTAGGGACTGATGTGAATGTATAATATATATGTAAAGTGCTGAGTACATTGACGGCGCTATACAAGTATCTGAAATAAATCATTTTCACAGGTGATAGTGCCTGTAAAATTCAGCAACCCAAGTTAAAAAAATGCGTGGCTCTGAACAAAGCATCATGGATTTGGAATATGTACAGCCACCAACGTAAAAGAGTCCTAAATGTAAGGCTCTATAGACTAAAAATATAGCCACAAAACACAGGGTTGCCACTCAGGCACAATTCAGCCTCCCTCAGGCATCTATGCTATGTGCAGAGCCCCTAAACACGAGTGACCTGCCAATTCTGAGTGTTCCAGATAACCGGTACTTGTAATATCAGCATGTTAGTAAAGCTCTGGTACTCACCGATTTTAGACACAATTTCTATAAATCTATAAATAAGTAGCCATCTGCTGAACTGGCCGAAATTCAAGCAGTGAGTGTCCATCTGACATCCTCCAATCCAAAAATCAAAAGGAGCCAGGTGGATATTTTTTGCTTGAACTGTGACTCCAGCCAATCAGCTGAAATCACTGTTCTGACAGTAGCCAGCACTGGCTTGAAGAATGCAATAGTCTCAGTAGGAGATTTGGGGATAAGCTAGATTATCTATTAGCATATGGCCAAGTTTACATTATCCAGCAGGCAGACATATTTCTGCACTACCCATGGATTTCTATCACACAATTCTCTCACTGTGCACCAGCAGGTTATAGATATGTAGAGGCGCTTGTATTCAGGGGGTGAGGACAGCCAGATCGCTTATCTCCTAACAATGGCATAACTACCTGTCTTTGGATAGCCTTGTTAAGTGTTCTTGCATGGCAAGACCACTTACTGTTATCTCACATATATATATTATTATAGCCATATTTACCACCCTAACTCCTCCCACAGTATTTACACTACATAGACAGTAATATAGCAAAACGTGCGGATTGTTCCCGATTGTTGTGCTATTACTTTGTGGACTGTTTCGCCGAATGGTCCACGAAATATCGGCGTTTTTGTGGTGAAATTGGTCCCATAGGAATGAATGGCAGAATGTTCAAAACTAGAGTGGGAGCTGACAAAAGCTAGAGTGTGAGACGAAAAATCAGGACACGATTTCTAAACTGCCATCACTCCCTCATTTTCAAGCCCACCTACACAAATCTTATATCAAAACGTTCAGCTATCCCTGCTGCAACTAAAAATGTCCACAGCTAAGCCATAGTCCTGATAGTTTTCACAATATGACCATTTGTTTGCAACTCACGCCACCCATTGATATTCATTGAAACTCCACTCTAGCCACCTCAAACTTAAAGGGCAATTTCTAAACTGCGACTGTGCCTTCATTTTTAATATTTCAGAGACATACTATGCATCAAAATGTAGGTCTGGGTCTTGTGATTCTCACAATATAAAGCTCTTCGGTGTCGGATTTATCATTTTTAAACTACAACCGTTTGAAGATGGCAACCGCCAGTGAAGTGAGCAAGTTGGAGCAGTTTGTTTTTAACCGCTCTTCTCTGCCCTTGCTGTAGAGTGAGTTGCCATAGGAACCCAGGTGTGTGAGCAGGCAGCAGAGTGACAAAAACTAGAGTGTGACTTGTAGACTACTGGTGGAGGCAAGAACACTTCACACAATTTCCCTAGAAATTGTAGCTTTTCTAGTTGTTTTAAGCTGGCCTTACACCTGTAGACTTTTGTTTGTATTTTGAAATTTTTTAGTTCCTTATTATATTTGACAAAAAAATTTCCATCCTTGTCCTTTGATCAGAATGAGCAAAAAAAAAAAAAAAAAAAAAAAATCAAAAACATTTGTTGCATTGTCACTCTTAGATAACTGGACGAAGATTCTGAAAATAACATCTTTTGAATTCTAAAGCTTTAGCTATACAAAGTTTGATTTCTGCAGACATTAAAAAGAGACCAGCACATACATCTCTCAGCCCCAATGCAATCAGCACTAAAAACAGGACAGCTCCTACCTTACTGGTTGCCTGGGGCAACACAGTCTACTTCCTACTACAGGTGTTTCACATGTGATCCCATGTCCCTTTGTAGTGGAGGTTAATGATGACCATCCACAATCAGCTTTCACCTAGATTCTCTATTCAACACACACACACACACACACACACACACACACACACACACACACACACACACAATCTTAATCTATAAGCCCATTCTACCTACCGGGTCTATTATGGGCGAAAATTCCCCCTCGCTCGTTGTTGACCCATAATTCAATTGTTGCCCACTCATTGATACTTTGGTCCCATTATAAAAACTTAAATTAGAGCTTACTCCTCCGTTTCATTTTTTGGAAACCCGAATTTTGTTGCGGCATTTTCATCTCCTGGTGGTACGATCGATCCTTTATCAGATTATCTGATTTTCAAAGAGGTGGGTCTTAGATCACTTTTGAGACATTACGAACGCTTTTTGATATCCCACTTCTCAAATACTACATTATCCGCAAATAAGGCATTTTTTCAATTCACATTTTGGTTTGATGCCTTCGTCCCAGATCACGTTTTTTTGAACATATTAGCCATGACTCTCCTAGCGGTAGGGGTCTTATTTCAGATTTGTATCACATTTTTTTGGCAACTATCTTTCTCTCACCCCCCTTGTATAGACAGAAATGGGAGGCTGATAGTGGTGTCACCTTCTCTGAAGAGGACTGGGACTCCATGGTGGATAACATACGTAAGAGCTCTAGATATCTGTCCGTGAGACTGCCCTTCAGGTATTAACCCTTTGGAATTATACCCCCTCTAGACTACACATCATGTTTCCATGGACGTCCCACGTTTGCTTCCGGGGTTGTGGCCTTGCTGGTACCCTTGTGCATACATTTTAGGCCTGTCCCGGCCTTTTATTGGTATGGCGCAAAATCTCTGAAGTGGCGTCTGCTGCGGTAGATACCCCGGTGCATTTATCTATGCAGATTTGCCTACTGGGAGCCCATATCTTGGGAATACGGACTGAGGCTAATTTTCACCATCTGTGTCTCAACCCTATGGGCCATCACCCAAGTACTATTGGCCTCTGTTCTACGAAGAGTCGATGTGGTGATGCTCATGGAACGTATTCACTATACATTACTGGATAGGATGCACTTATCTGACAGAAAATGGGATGTTTGGAAAACTCAGCCATTTATTGTCTGACTAATGAATATTCATGATTTAATTGATAGTGTTCCTCTGTTGGTAGCCTTATTGCTCTGCCTATCTTCCTGTCTACCTTGCTCATGTACTTAACTTTTATGCCTTACATGATTGTACCTTATTGGAATGATTACAGATGTGCCTTTTTTCTGTAGTATATTATACTTTATGCTGTTTTTGCAGTCTATTCCTTAATAAAAACGTTTGTAAACAAAAAAACTCATCAGTGGCAAGAGACTTGACAGATGTTCAAAAAGTACTTCAAAATTTCCTTTGCCCTTAACATTCACTTTTTGTATGAATGGAATTTCACTACAAAAACCGCATACACGGTTAGAAATGTGTTTGCTCAAGAAAAAAAAAATGTCCATCCCACTCCTTAACTGTTATCATAATAATCGAAAACCAACGCCCCACTAAAGATTAGAAAAATCGAACAACCACTACAAAAACATTTTTCAAATGAAATTCTACTAGTGTATCACCAGCTTAATACCTCATTCTCATGGGATTTTAATGGCAGCTGCAACAAGGAAACAGTAGCACAATCCTTCAGCTAGATTCACAAGTAGATGGAGAGAGTTAGGACTGCTCAGCCTGTACAAAGAAATGACAGGCTGGCGATAGCTGTAGCTGCCCACAATGAGCGATTACCTGAGGTTAGGGAAAAGTGCAAGTTGTTTGCATCCAGAGGCGATCATTTGCCCTAAGGCTGGGTTCACTCCTACGCAGTTTGCTTTTGATCTGTTTCTACAGTGCATTTTGCACATACGTTTTTAATGCTTTTTTTTTTCTTGTTTTTGCTTGTTACTGGACAGAATAAAATGCAAAATGCATCACAA